TTTTATTTATTACCACATAAAAATGTTGCCCCTTTTTGGGTCATTGAGTGATTAATTGAATTTATTGGTTAGAGTGAGTAAATTTCGATTGGATTTATCTATTCTATGACTATTATAAAAGAATAAATGGTTTTGGAAAAAGATATACGGACTAAAAATTTCTTATGTTTATATTATTTTTAATGAAAAAATTGTAATAACCATTAAATACTTCAGTGAATTATAATCACAATTAAATATCTCAATAAAAAAGGATTCTAACAAAAATAAAACTCTCTAAAAAATAAAAATAAAACCTAAACAATTATTAACTTATCAATATAGATAAAAATTAATAAAGGAGATGCAAATTATTCCAAACAGATTGAATTGTATTAAAACATAGTCTTAAATATTATGTGAACAAATAAAAAAGTAGGGAAGTAGTATCATCAATTTCACAACATACAGTGTTAAGTATAAAGTATTATAATACAAGTTGGTTACATTTTCTCAATGTATATTATTTTTATATTACTAATGACATAACTACGTGTCAATATAAACAAAGTTGATATAACATAATTATATAAAATTTACAAAAGACAAATAACATGGCACACAAAACCAATTAAATGTCTTTTTCAAAAATATAGAGTATCAAGTAGGATATATGAGAAAAAAAAATGATATAACATGAAAGAAATTTTCACATGAATTTATGGACATAATAATAATTATTAAAATATAAAAAGCATTTTATTATTATCTTATTTTAATTATTATATTCATATCTAGATTTAATTGTTTGAATTAAAAAATTTGAACATAATAATAAATTGATTAGAGCTAATGTCATATTTTATTTTTATTATACTATGAATCTATAAATTATGTACGACATAATTTAGTTAAAAAGTGCCTTTTATTAAAGTAAAATTTAGCGACTATTTCAAATAGTTTTTATCAAAATAATAAATTTTTAAAAATCAACAAATACTTATAAAAACCGAAATATAATGATAAAAGCTACTCTATAATAGAACAATGAATTACATTTAAAAAAATAAAATGCAAAGACATATTGCCAAATAGATGAATGTTGATTGCTTAAGATATCTTTTATATTTAATATATTTATAATAGTACGACTATAATTACAATGATTAGTAAAAGTTATAAAAGTATAATTTATAGCAAAATTATAAGTATGAATAATAACAAATAAGTATGAATAATAACAAATAAAATTCAGTTAACTAAAAGTAATTAAACGTGATTGTCAAATAAATTATAAAATATTTCAACTTTGAAAAGGGACCTTTTTTCTTAACTACAAAATATTACATTTAACATGTTTCTATCATGATGAATTATATAAAATATATTGATATATTTTTACAGAGTTAATACAAGCATTTACAATATTTTTTAACATAAAATAAATAATGCATAAATAGCTTACATTCTATGAAATATTATTTCAAATACACAAATTATTTTTTAATTTCAATATCATATACTAATTCATGTGATTTTTCTAATTACTCATGAAATGAATACATGATTACACATAGACTGAACATTTAGATTTCTGATGCACAAAAATATAATAAAAATAAAATATGAAATAGTATTTGATAACCATTTTTACATACTTAGTGATTTATAACATTTATATTGGTTAGTTTTAATATACTTTTTTTTTAAGTTTCAAAATTTTATGATTCTCAATAATGGGGTTTGATATATTAATAATTAGATTATTAATTTTAAATTTGTTAATAATACATAGTTTATTTAAAAGACATTTTTAAGTAGTCCGGTGTACTATCATATATTGACGATTGAAATAATTATATACAATTACATAATTGTTCAAACACATCTAACGTTATATAATTTTTTGTTAATTATTACATTTATTATCTATATTGAGTCTGCAACTAATATATACAATTAATATGCCTTGATTTTCCAAGAACAACAAATATGTCATAACAGTAAGAATGCGTTTGTTTATAATCTCAACTCAAAATCAAACTCAATTTTAACTTAACAATACTTTCTTTTTAATGCTATCAATATAATTAAATAATATCAAATCAATCATTCTTACACATCATATCAATTTTAATTCACTATTCATCCACTCACATAATTTTAACCACATATCCATTCCAATCATCCATCTTCTACTTTTACATCAATAAATTTTAATATTTTATTATAAATATTATTTTAATGTAAACTTAAAATCTCACTAACAACTAATCATACCATTTTTTTTTCAAAATTAAATATGGTTAGTAAAAAAAAAAAATCAAATACCAATATATTTTTAAACAAATAAGTCCTAAGGTTTTTGTTAAGCAAATGTCATTTNCTTCCCCCCACACACACACACATACATATATACATATTCCAAACAGAAAATCTAACGGTAATATATTTTAATGAAAATTTAAGTTGATATTCTAATGATATAACTTTCGTTAGAATGATTCCAACGACGGTTCCAACAAAAATATTTCTTTAGAACATGTTTGTCATTGAGATTTTAGTTGGAAATTGATGATTCCAACGAATACTTTTGGAATTTTCGCTGGAATATGTAATTTTCGTTGTAATTTTTATTTCTTCCTATATTTTGACCATTGAATAATCTAATGTTGAAATCATCAAAATCCAATGAAAATTTCAATGGAATTCCAACATTATATTTTTATTGAAATTTGTATTAAAATCTATTGAAAATTTCTAACGAAAATAATAACATTGAAATATTCATTGGAATTGCCATTGTAATTCATTGAAAAATGTTTCCTTTAGAATTTCATTATTATTATTATTATTATTATTATTATTATTATTATTATTATTATTACTTTTTTGTACTGGGCGACACCTATTTGTAAATAAAATGAATCAAAAGTAAGACTGTTGATGCGATTTTCGGCTCGAAAGGCCCGAAAAGCCATGTGGCACAGAGGTGACATTTATTCTTGACATGATGACAGTAGTCATCACACGTGGTATGACGCTAAACTTGTAGGACTAGTTTTGAATATATATAATTATTTTCTATATTTATTAATGTATATTGTATCCTTATTCTCTTCTTTTGTTATATAAATTATTATATATATTAATTACTACAAATATAAGACAAGATTATGAATATATATAATTATTTATTATAACTATTTATAAAAATTTTTAATTATGAATAAGGATACAATATACATTAAAATAAATATAGAAAATATTTTAATTGCTTTTATTTTGTGATGCGTTATTTTTAATAGGCATTCTTTTAGCTTATTTTTAATATTAAATTATTATAAAAAATAGTTTTATTAATGAGATAATTATAGTTAACATGTTTATATTTTTAATTAAATAATTATAAAATTACAAACAAAAAATTGGAAACGTGAATATTAGATAATACATTTTCACAATTGTACAATGCTTCAAAAAACATATTCGTAGAATTGTTCCTTTCAACAATATCCGAGGTTCCGAATGCCGATTTTCTCAACTCGTGCCATTTGTGTCGGAAAAAACTTCAAGGCTAAGTTATTTACATATATTGGTAAATAAACAATTTAATTATTTTTTTCTTTGTTTTGTTTGTTCGTGCCATTTGGGATGACCAAAAATAATTTTAGAAACATCATACATATTTTTTAAGAATTATAATTTTTAATAGGTAACTTACTTAAAATTTATAAATATTTGAAAAAATTCGAAACACTGTCCAGTTTTTGAATTGATTTGATATTGAATATTCACAATTTAAATATATATATATATATATATATATTTTGGGTAATTTTATAAATATTTAATAAAAATGTAGTAAAAAATATTAACTATAATATTAAGTTATTATAAAACTATTTTTAATATTATAAAACTATAAAAATAGGTTTTTTATGACATAATTATAGTTAAAATTTTTTATTCATACATATTTTCTTTTTAATTTTATAATTAATTTAATAAAAAATAAATTAATTTTTTTTGTAATTTTATAATTAATAAAAAATAAAGGAAAAAAATATCAATAAAATTACATTATGATAATATTACAAAATTAGTTTTATTCAACTTACCAAGTGGCATGTCAGATGGAGTGCCATCCAATAGGAAGTGGAGGTCATGAGCGTCTATATCGTAAAATCGATTTTCGACGGAATGAAAAAGACATATATGGTATAATTTATAAAATTACAAAACTAGCTTTATTCATGGCATAATTACAGTTAAGATTTTTATTCATGAAAAAAATTTATTTTTGTGTAATTGTATAATTGTTTAATTAAAAATATACTAATGAGTAAAAATAAATTTAATTATTATAAAATAACAAAAATATAGTTATTCATGACATAATTATAGTTAACATTTTTTATAATATTTTTTTATTAAACAATAATAAAATTATAAAAAAATAATGTAATGAATGAAAAATATTAACTATTATAATCTGATGAATAAAAATACTTTTTTGTAATTTTATAATAATTTAATATTAACAATACGCTAAAAGAATACCTATTAAAAATAACACATCACAAAATAAAAGTAATTAAAAATATTTTCTAATTTTATTTTAGTGTATATTGTAGTCCTTATTCATAATTGAAATTGTTTGTAAATGGTTATAATAAATAATTATATATATATATTCATAATCTTGTCTTAGATTTACTTAATAATATATTTATTGATTATTATATATATATATATATATAAATATAATAATTTATATAACAGAAGAAGAACAAAACAATATAACAAATACGAAAAATTTCAAAACTAGTCCACAGCAAGTTTAGTGTCATGCCACGTGTGATTATTGTTGCCAACGTGTCAAGAGAAACACCTATGCGCCACATGGCTTTTTGAGCCTTTCGGT